AGTAACACCTTTACCGACAACATTTACAACTTATCAGGAATTTGCGCATGAAAAAGTAACTATTTTGACCCTACTACCCTTTCGAAGCAATTATTTTCGGCACTAGTTCTGCTGACGTAGCGATAAAAGATGAGCGCCATATATTTGGACACAAAAAAGGAATTAGATCAAATACAGCAAGTCGAGGCTTACTTGAAAACTTCTGGGGAAAGACCACGAACAGCTTTTTTTAAGTTTAGTTGTTACGACGTCCTGTTGCAAAACTGATACAACTGGAAGAAAATGAAAACAAAACGAAAATGGTTAAACCACTTTCCTATTAGTTTTTCCTGGGAAGGTTACTGGTTCACTCGACCCACATGATGATGATGGCTCACGGTCGGTCAAACAAGTGGTACATCCTGTCAACATTTAAGGTCCTTCCCACATTTCCCACAAAATCGGTCACCAGATCGAGATTTTGTGCCACAACGAAAACAAACCGAGACTTCGTTATCTAAAAAATTGTTTTCTCTGGACAGGGGTGGTGAGCCTCGATAAGACGGCAAAAATGCTGGCCTAAGGAGGCCGTTTTGCGCATGATATCCATTTAGTTCTCTGTCTTCACGCTCGTTTCTTTGAGTTTGCAACGAACAGTTCCGTATCATGGGAGGTAACCTCAGTCCACCATGAACCTGCGCTCCAATTGAGGTCAGCGGATGCGCCGTAGTCTTGGTAGCACCGTTGAATGAGGCAAGAGGTAAAGTCAGAGGAACACCTGGAAGTAGAGTTGGTTTAACTCCCTTGAACGGAATGCTGGGAAAACTAGAAGGTAAAGGGGCAGTGGAAAGACAGGACGGGGCTGGCTCTGGAAATTCGATAGGGTGACTCTTGCCAGCGAAAATACATTCGATCGCTTGTACCAAATCACCACTGCAACCTTTCAGAACAAGTTCCAACACGTTTTCTTTGTGTGAAGGAAATATTTTGCTGAGAACTTCGACAGGTCGTGGAGGCTTCCGTCTTTTGAAGGCAGATTCACCAAGACTCTTTTGTAGAAGTTTAACAGTGTAGTCGAAGTCATCTTGGTCACGGAAAGTCGAGCTCCATGGCAACTGGAACAAAGAGCTTTCGTTCTCCTTGATCATGTGATCTGCCTGTGGTCGACAGCTTTCGTGCACGTGAAAACGAGGTGACGGGGAGCGAGAAACATTATCGTTTGTTAGTTGCGGGGAGACACTCCTAGCTAATCTTTTAGGAGGTGGTTCATCACCTCGGTCGTCTGCGGGAAGAGTGTCATTGCTGGAATACTCCGGATCATTTTTTTCTTCTTTAATGAGCACTGGCTGTTGCGAGTTCTTCTCTGTGGAACGAACAATGGTAGAAATGAAGATTTATTTATTATGATTCCCAAGACCTAAACCCGCTCCTATTCCAATTCTTTGCACTGCCTGCCAAATATTTCTGTGTGACAAAGACAAAAGAGAATTTGAACGACTTGTTTTCCACAAGTTATTGAACCCCAGCGGTACCATCAAATAATTTCTAATCAGTACACACCTCCCTTTGGGGAAAACTTCGTGCGTTTTTGTCGTGCAAGTTCAACATATGAGCAAGCGGTTCTACAATTCATTAGAAAAGTAATAAATTTTGAAAAAAAATTCGAGATCTTTTTGTACTCGTTCAAGTAGACAGGTGGTATGATTGTTTTCCTTGTGAAGTTCATTTAACTAAATGATAAATACTTTCGGAAAGATATGAATCACATGAAGTATACGAGAATGATTAGAAATAACCTATATATAACAAATTACCCGCAGAAAATAAGCACATGTACCACTGTTTCCCTAATACAGTTCATTTCCTTCAATTACTTAATCATTTTTTTTTCTCTACTTAGACCCAGCACTTAAACTCTAGGCAATTCACATGTTTACTTATCAAATTAAATTTCATGAGGTACTTCTGAAAATCGCCACTGACAGGAAAAAAACTCATTCGAACTTTTTTTTTATCTTCTTGGTCAGGTATGTTTCTTTATTCCATTGCAAGATGATGCAATTTTCCTTTAGCGCTGTACATTTCAAAAGGAAATTTCTTTGGTTTAGAATTTCCGCCGATACGAAACAAAAAGATATCGAAGGAAAAATTACTCTTTGGTTTAGTTGAGATTGCACAACACTAAACGAAACAAAAGAATGTTTTTCCATTTGATTTCAACCGCAGCTGATCTTTTGTTCTTTTAAATCGTCTTCCGGTTTAGAGTTTTTTTCACGCCTGAGAGTCACATACTAATTTTTTCAAATCACGTACTATTTTTTAAAATGGCTAACTGTGTAGACGAAAAATACTAAAAATTATATCATAGCTATCTTTTTATTACCTTCAGTTACGGGGCAAGAAGCTGGTCGTGTCAATTCCGATAGAGGACTCGAGGAGAAGACCGAGTTCACTCTAGGCGTGAAGGAAGGTAATGTTACTTCGTGATCCACGCCTCTGTGCGTAAATTCAACGCATGGTCCACTGCCTTTAGACTCGAACGGTTCCATTCTGGTTTGATGGCGCAGAAGGGCCACCCTTGCAGCGGTAATTCTCTGTCTCTCTGCTATTAACAAGCACTTGGGGCAGACACAGTCCCTCCATTTACAATAGTGTTTGTGACCTTTCAGCGAAGACACCACTCCATGATTCCGGCAGCGGGCGCATTTCGGCGCGCGTAGGGTACCGTTGGATGGGGCATTCTCAGATACAGCACTCATAGCAATTTTAAAAGATTTTCTCCTCAATTTTAGCCTCAGGGATGAAACAAAACTCAGTATTAGTGCCTCTCTCTGTCGTAGATGCTAGGTTGCTCAGCGATCGAAGCAAAATTGGTCTCAGAAACAAAGACCACCGCTTAAATGTCTCTGACTAATTAACAGAGATGTTAGCCATGAAAAGCGAGCCATTTCATTGGCTTATAAGTGCTCAATTATTCAACACTATTGTTAGTTCGCCGCAAGTGATACTTAGTCCCTAGAAACTGTACAAAGTATAAGTACCCAAAATGGCCATCCACAAAACATTGAAGTTATGTGCAAATATCGTCTTAACTCTACGAACGTTCGGAAAATCTCCTTCTTTCGGTTCAGAGCGAGTGACCGTGCTTTGAGTTAAAGCACTCTGTTGTCATTCTTTTAAACAAGTTTGTTCTCGCTCTTTTAACAGTAGTATCAAAGTACCATAATTTATGTATGAATGTTATTCACTTCGAAGATTTTTTTCATCACCATCCACCAGCCAGAAAACTGTCGAACAAAATAAAACTCAAAGGAAAATCGGGAAACCAATGTGAAAAGTGTTTTCATTTCGATTCAGATGTGATTATTTGAAGAACCATGTGTAGTACTCCTTCAAAACTCAACCAACCATTTCACCATGTACCGGGCCAAACAAAAGAATTGACAAGCAATGAAACTAAAAACTTCTCACCTCGAGGAAAGCATTTCCTGATGTTTTAAGATTTTAAGAGAGTCCACTGAAATGAATTTTGCGACTTACTCCGTCACAACCGTGACACCAATGGATTTCAAAAGGGGTTTTTTCGCGAAGCCTAAGATTTTACATAAGATTTTACATGAGATTTTACACAAGATTTTACATAAGATTTTACATGAGATTTTTTCTCAGCTGTAGTTTGAGCTGTTAGTATTGTCAGTGGACGTGATTAAAATTAATAACCATTTTAAACATGGTATTTACACTTTTCGAGTAGCAACTGTTTACCTTTTCCGGAGCGCTTGCTTGTTTTGCTTGTTACAAGGCGGCGAAATATTTTATGACGTTTTCGTTTTTGTTGATTTAAGAATGTCCGGCCCGCGTTTTAGTTTCTTCGCCACAATCGGAAATGTATACATTTCGGTAAATAAATTAACACTGCTGTTACACTGGATAATTATCAAATGTTAGCTCTGAACCAAACCAGTCTTTTTTATTTCTTGTACCAAGCAAGTTTGTATAGAATTATTTTTTGTGGCGGAATTGTCAGTCAGCCTTCAAGGACTGCCTACCCCCATTATACTTCTCAAAAATTGTCGAGGTCTCAAGATCGCACATGACATAACCATGTGCTTTTAATATTTATGATTTTCATTTTTCTCGCTGATCTCTCCCTTAACGTAGAGTTTTCAGTATTTTGACGAATCTAAGTATAAAGTAAAAGAAATTCGAGACCACCCACGGGTTTTTGCTAAAAGATGAAAATAACAGTAGGTATTCTTTGCTAGATAGCACATTCTCGGCGATACCAGTCGGGGACGTTTTAATATTTCAAGTGAGAGAACAGAAGAGTTCGCTTTCCCTCTGTGAACCAGACAGATTGTAATTCATAACAGAAACATGAGAATTTATAAATGATCCCTGGATTTCGAATTCAAGGAAAAAATTTTGCGGAAACTTGACACATTTTAAACTCATTTGTTGAAGTTCGCTTCCATGCATTGCTGAATTTTCAGCTAATTTTCATACATGTAAAAATCTAGTTCGTTTACAGTGGCTTTATTGTTTTTACATTGAAGACATGTTATTTCACCAATTGACTTTTAAGGACTTCGCACACTCTTTCCTTAGATATCTAAAGCTCTGACCATAATTTGTCATAGTATGCAATTTATTTTCTATAAACGCTCTTTTTAAATGTTTGTAGGAATTACTCAGTTAGTCAGGCGTTTAGACGCAAAATAAATTGACGGGCAATTTTTTTCTCCATTTTTCGGCGAATCCACCGGAACAGCGCACTCCGGCCTTTATAATAACATTCTAAAAACTGAACTTAAAAATCGCAATATAAACAAAATTTTTGATGATGTAAAAAGCATTCAAGTGAAATATTCTTACTAATTTCAGTTCAGCTTTGACAGCGGGTTACTTGCAGGTGGCGGCGATGAATATTTACCGGCTATTACCCCCAATTAAGATACTCCGCGAAATGTAACCTTAGAAGACCGCCCTAAACTTGAAAGTATGTAAAAGAGATTTAAAAAAAAAAAAAAAAAAAAAAAACATGGCAATTTCTAAAATACTTACTGCGCAAGTAAAGCGTATGTCGTACAAGGTACATGAACATTCGCTCGATCGTTTGTTCGAGAACACGTCAAATTTCAATTGATGTCGTTTCACACGTGGGTAACACAAAAGATTAGACAAACATTCTCGCGGTTCGAGGATTCTGGACTTTCCTCTGAAGAGACTTCCATGTAAAGAAGAATTGCGAGATGGAACCGCGGAATTGATTTTTCATAGTTGAAAATACTAGAACTTACCAAAATGCTGCTCCATAATTGATACCATCCTCCTCCAACGAACGCTTTTTCTTTGTTCGTGATGAAATACCTGTTCTGAGCATTGCACCTATCTGCTCTTCGTTCTTGTTTTTCTTTCTTTTTCCAAAATAAGGACTTCAAGCGGTGTTATTTAGTACTTTTAAATAACTCTTAGTACCAGTTTAACGTTTTACCTTACAAACAAAAATATATTGAAAGAACTTTGGCCGTCGAAAGGGCGCCCCATTTTCTTAATGAAGAGCAAAAGCCTAAGGAATAACTCGCGGGAATTCTAGCTAAGGGCATTGTGCTTTAACCCTGGGTAAAACATTTCAACAGTCTCTTGTCACCCGCTCGCTTTTGTGTGGAGACATTTTCATCAGGATATCATTACAAAGGTTCCTTTGTAAGTTGAAAGACTTTCAACGTTATATACCTCAAGCTTTATGAAATGTAAACAGAAGCGAGAAAAGTTCATACTTAGTCCTAATCTGCTGATCCTACGAGTTTCGCAGACACTAACAGTTAAACCAACAGAAATTGGAATAAGCGTCGTGACGAACTAGCAATTAGCTAAACTCATACAAGCTCTATACCAGCGACTTGATGGAGTTTCCCCGTCGCCGCTCTGAGAAAGCCTCTCTGGGGTGATCATGGGAAATAAACTTAGCTCTTCATATGCTCACCACTTCCAACATTACTCCATATACCATCTTAGGGCAACAAATAACGCAAAATGGTCATAGACAAGACTTGCATGGTTTTGTTTGCGTTTTTACCGTCTTTTGCACACCCCTCAAGGGATCGATTGACACAGACAAGACAGTAGGATGTATTTAAAAAACTAGAAGCCAATTAAATACTAGAAAATGAATTAATAGTGGAATGACAAATCCCTAACTTGTTGGTTTAACATATTACAATAGCGAACATTTTGCCCATTACTTGTACCATATTCTCGCTCCTAAGGGGCTCGCATGAACACCACGAAAATTTGCCAAGTATCTGCGCGTATCGTATACCGCGTTGATATTTCCAGCGCAATACGAAAACCACACTTGATAGAAACTCCTCACGGAGCAGCTTGCATCCTTGCGAAGCAACACATTTAATAACTTCATAAGGACACTGAAAGAAACTTCATCTATTTGTTGTATCCCTTGCTTTGATTCAACAATTTGAAACTTTTTTTTTATTTTTTTTTGTTTTATGTACAAAACCACGTATCGGTGAAGATACGCGGACACCAAGGGAAGTAACTCTTGTTTTCCAAATGGCAACAAAAAAATATCACAAAGCATTCGTAATGTTCTATAATTATAAGGTTATAACCTTGTAAAATACTTCAGACCTCAGATGCTTCCCTTGGCAGTCCTTTGAAGTCAAGTTGCGAGTTCACAGTATCATCTCAGAGTGCTTGTAATAGAGTGTGGATTTCTGATCAAAGGTAAAAGAGAGAAAAAAAAACAAAACAAAACATGTCCTGATCCCTATTCGCCGTTCAATCAGCGTAAGTTAAAAAGTTGTTACATGGTTAGCTTTGATAGGTGTGCGTCGAAAACTTCGCTCCATTCCTCCTTCAAGTGACAAAAGACAGGGAATGTTTTCGGTTGGTATTCATTTAGCGTCGAAACTTCGCTCCATTCCTCGTTCAAGTGACAAAAGACAGGGGATGCTTTCGGTTGGTGTTCATTTGACGTCAGTGTTTCATAAATACGATCATTCGTGTAGGCAGCACGAAAATGCCACCGATCAAAGCCCCATTTTCCTTCCTTCGATGCTTATATTGACAGCCCGCTGTGATCCTCTGTTGAGAAGCTTTTTTTTATCTTCAAACTTTCTCTTTTGTTTTTCAAACCGGTTCATCGTCTTTTGGGGTTTCTAAAATTAAAAGAACATAGCAAAGCAAGAAGAAACTCGATTTACACTCAATAATTCTTTTTGCTGTCTTTTTGAGTCTTTGTTCATTAACTGGTTACGTACACTAAACTACAACCGATTTCTAGTCCTCCCTTAAAGGATCCCTTCCAACCACAATACATTGCGCGCGCGATATGTGAAATCCGCCATTTTCTCTGCCATCCGGTATTGGACAAGTCGTGAAGTGGAAAGAAATCCTCGTTCATCCGAGTNTTTGGTGAAGAACACAGTAAACAAATTTGTAGCTAAATATTTGAGCCTGAAAAATCATAAATCGAGTCTGTGGATAAAACTTGTACAAAGCTTACCTGATGTTGGAGGAAAGTGTTCGGCTTTAACACTAAATAAAATATGTACGATGCACGATCCTCGCAGTAGAGAGCGCTATTTATGCAATAGCGAAAATCAGACCTGAAAAAAATCAGGCCTGTACGGGATTCGAACCACATATGAACTTCATATATTTATTGTATCTGATTTATCATCACGGGTTTATTACGAATCAACTTAACGGCCCGCTCCCAGTTGGCTTGTTAGCTCGATTGGTAGAGCGCTGCACAAGTATCGCACAGGTCAGTGGTTCGAGTCCCGTACAGGCCTGATTTTTTTCAGGTCTGATTTTCGCTATTGCATAAATAGCGCTCTCTACTGCGAGGATCGTGCATCGTACATATTTTATTTAGTGTTAAAGCCGAACACTTTCCTCCAACATCAGGTAAGCTTTGTACAAGTTTTATCCACAGACTCGATTTATGATTTTTCAGGCTCAAATATTTAGCTACAAATTTGTTTACTGTGTTCTTCACCAAATTTTTTTTTTTTTTTTTTAATAGTGTTTGTGAATGACTATCAGAGTTCGCCATTTAACAATAGCGCGATTCCAAAACAAAAACAAACGACTGCAAAGGATCTCGGATGGAAATGGGCCTTTAAAGCTACTATCAATATCCTTCCATCACTGAAAAGATCACCTCCAAGCTGAAACACCAACGTCTGGCAAATTCTACTTTCCAATATGTCTGACTACTATCCCTTAAAGACGAGTCACGCGTGCGTAACGTGACGTTGACCTAGTAACTGCTGTCTCATTCTTGACTTACCTTGGAGAAATCCATCCGTTCAACAGCATTCTGTGGTCGGACAACGTAATCTTTGTTGGATGGCGTAGGAACGCGGGCTCGCATCACAAAGCCCTTGTCACCAGGCTTCACGGCTCTGAAGAGAAGTTCAGGGCACGTCGTGTAAGTAAGGCACAAAACAAATGAAGTGGAAAATCAAGTGTACTCACTTTTTGTCACTCTGCAGAGCAGAATCGATAGACTTTGGAGTCTTGCCTCCGTCGCTATCTACTGAACTGAGGAAGTAGAAGAAAACAAGCGTGACCATCTCTTTACATCTAAAAAATACGATACCCTTAAAAACAATTTATGTGGAAAAAACGAAAAAAAAAAGAATAATAATCCGAAAGAATACAGCCCTGGTACTAGAATGAGTCTTCCCTTCAGAAAGATGTTCCTTCAGTAAAGGTGACAGACCCAGAAGACTGTAAGAAGATTTTTCAGTCGGGACCAGAGTTTGTCTCCCTTCAATGGAAAAGTCCCCTGAAGTAAGTTGTCCACATTCCAACATACCTCAATCTTCTTTTCTTGGACATGTTTTGGTAATCCCGTTGTTCTCTCTCCTCTCGACTGAGGGATTTGAAGTTTGACGTCACACCGAAAATCGGCCGTGCCCAGTCATCTAAATAGAATAAACCACAAACTTAGAAAAAAAGAAATACTAAAAAAAAATAAATCGAATAAATCATANTGCGATCCCTTCACAAAGCAGCTTTATTTTATTTAGCTTCGCCAACCGGCAGGGACACCGCACCAGCTTACGCCGATTACTGCGGGCCCAATAAACCCACCCATTCCACCCCAGGGGAGGACATCCATCACACAGTAATCTCGTGCGTGGAAAATCAACGTCTCCTACCCCAACCCTGCAGGAGACGGGACCTCCATTTATTCGTCCCTATCCGAGAAGACTAGAATATCTAACCATTTCTTGATGCTATAGAAAGGCAGCAAATTCTTCTCAATTATTTTAAGACCCCGAGTGTTGGTCCGGCCGGGGCTCGAACCCTCGACCTCCCGCTCAACAGTCCAGCGCTCTATCCATTGAGCTAACCGGCAGGCGGTTAGCTTTTTTGTTCCGTTAGATAATGCACGACTTTCAGAAAGGATACTTCAAGGAAATTTCTATCGAAATCTCGTACTCGTAAACGTAATAACAATATAATTAGGATATATCAACAAAGTTGAAATGGTAAATTGGCCACCGTAACGATTACAAAAGCTGACGTTTCGAGCGTTAGCCCTTCGTCGGAGCGAATAGAGGAATTGTGGTTTGTAATAACAATACTTACTGATGAGTTTTCCTGCAATTTTCTTATTGTCCCTTGTCTCCCTCGGGTGGCGGCACAGGTACATGACTGCCTTACCGATTCCACTCATTTTAAGAGTTCTGCTGTCCATGGTAGGAAACTGAAAACAAGTGACTACTTATTAAGTAAGAGTGAGGTCTTCACGGGAAATCCTAAACTATGAATCAGCTAATGAGCAAAGGAAGACAAGACAAGACAACTTTATTTAGCCAGGGTGGCCCAGTCAGCTGCGAGGCTGGTATCCTTAGGGGCCCTGGGAACGTTGTTAGTGACCCAGGACAACCCAACTGGCAATCCTCGCAGTGTTAATAACTTTGATCCACACAAAAAAAAGGAAAACAGAAACGAGAAAAAAAAAATGAACGGTTTTTAAGGAATTGGGAGTTTCTTATTCTGACTTAAAAAAATAAGGACACGTTTTAATGGCATAATTTTTTGTGCTTGTGCAGCTGCGTGTGACCCTCTATCGCCTCCTATTGAAGTTGAAATTTTGAACATTTTGTGGTCACGTGATAAAATGCTTAATGACTGAGTTTGGTCGGTCCGGACGGGAAAATATTTTCCTCTCGGTCATGAGGCCACGTTACGTCATGACCGAGAGCCAAATTTTTTCCCTTCCGGCCCTCCCACTCGGTAAATAAGTACATAATATTCAGAAAGACCACACGCAAGTCAAGCTAGAAGGTTACCTCGACTAAGACTTTAAGCAGTCCTTCTCGAATCTGAAGATGAGGTAAAGAACCATCTGGCAGAGGGCTCAACCAGTCCTAACGTGTGAAGCAAAATACGACATGAGTTAACTTGGAAATGAGCCAGTAATCATGTAGAATACCAACCAAGCGCGTCCATAACCACGCAAGTCACAGTGCGTTTCAAGCAAAAACACTTTCTTTTTCATTGGGAGAAAGTTATACAGCTATTTTCAAATCGAGCGTTGAAAGTGATCCGAAATGATATCAATCGCGACTTGGTCGTCCGCGTTTTTCCCGCGTTTAGGCAAGTTGCTCCTTCTTAATTTGAGTTCCCATTGGCTGGTTGTGATATCTCTTTATTCTAATGTGTGCACTGATTGGCCATTGAAGATAACACACTAAATCGAAAAATGACGAGAGCATCTAACAGAAGGATTCACGACCTACCTCAACTGCCTACTTTAACACTCCGCTGCTAAATTTTCTTCATCTGTCAAAACTTTTCTTCGTTTAAAGGCAAAATGAAAATAACACATCTGAGAGGAAGAACTTACTAACCTTCAAAACTGGCAAAACACCAAGCTCTAGAAATGTGGTCTGCAAATCAGCTCTGAAAAACCAAACAAAATTCAGTCGTCAAGTGAGCAATTAGTCCATTTTACAGTTGTGTGCTTGGTTGCCAAGCCTTTGAATGGGAGTGAGGCTAGGGATGACCTTGTTATGATACAAACCTTGCTGCCTTTCAAATGTAAATCACTTTGTTATCATGCTAACTAGATAAAGGTCTCTATCACAACAAGGTCACCTTCAGCCTCACTCTCAATCAAAGGCTTGGCAACTAAGTACACAACTGTAAAATGGCCTATTAATTAAAGAGAATTATGTTTTATTGGGAAGGGAGACAGACTGCCAAACGACTGTCCGAGACTCACTTGTGTAAGTGTGTTAGAACAGAGGGAAGCATTTTGAGTTTCTTGGTAGCTGCTTGCTTTGCACCATTAAGCATCCTATCCTCCTGAAAGAGTGAAAAAAGAAAAAAAAACCTGCATGTGAAGCTAGAAAAGCAACAATAAGAAGGACTAATAGGAATCTCAAAGTGGAATTATAGTTTTTAATTATTATATGACCAAAATTAAAAATAATAGATACCTCCACAACCTCTTTCATCTGAGTTATCATATGTGCTACTGCATCATCACTGTCACTTATGATGTCTACATTCTGTAAACCCAAAACCATTATGAAGTCTATAAGCGTATATTCATGTTCATTCAACTTGCAGCAATGATTACTGTGTTTCAGAGACCTCTGAGATAAAGAACTGTTTTGTTTTTTATTTTTTTTAACCAAAGTATGGTGAATTCCATTTGGTGATTGAATTTTACAATTTTAAAATGGATGTAATGAGGTGGAAATTGACCTTGGGTGGCAAGGAATTTTGGTCTAAAATCATACTTGTCATTTCAAATGTAATTTGCATTCTCTGCTTGTTGGATTGTGAAATCATGTATGTGATTTCAGACCAAATTGCACTCCACTCACTTGAACACAAATAGAATAAGAAAGATAAGTTTTGAGCTTAGTAAAGAAATAGACACAAGCATTGACAAAGAAAAATTCTGAGTTCCCATGAGGAGTAGAACCTCAGACCTTTGGATTCCATTGGAGAAAAGAATCTGAAGGTCTAAGGTTCCATTTCTCAAGGGGACTCGGAATTTTTTCTTTGTTCCATGCCTGTGACAAGATGAAAAAATATCTTTCTCTATTGAATAATAAACATTTCTTACCTTCCTTTTCCTCCTGAAATTCCTGTTCATCTATGTAAGCAGGCGAATTACAATTTAGTTAAAACCATGATACACATGAAACTGACAAAGATTAATTATGTTTAACGGCCAAATGTGATCCTAGATATACAAAGATGTCAACAATCTGTTACAAGTAAGATCCACAGACAAATTGTGTTCTTTGTCAGGATATGAACCCAAGCCAATTTCTATTTTGTAGCCAATGCTTAACAAAATGTGTTGAAGAGAATGTTTCCTGCAAGCCCAGGATCTTCCTTCCTCTATTTCACATTCCAAGGAAGCCTGTTGTTGAGATCTAACCTTTCTTTTGAGACATTACATCAGAAGATTTCACAGAAAAAAAAACAACAATAAAGTAAATAAAAAAAACAATAAAGTTCCCTTGAGTGACTGTAAAGACTGCAAATGTACAATGTACCTCCTTCTTTTTCTGTATCATCAGGTCAAAATCTGACACAAACCTGTAAAGCAAAAAGCAAGATGTATGGCATATATGTACAAGAACATAAAATATCCCAGAGGTAAATTCCATTTTGTCCTGTGGATGACCATAACAAACTGACCCTAACAAGTAAATTGTAATAAGGGTGGAAAGAGAAGCCTGCAAAAATTCAGACTGGGAAATCGTATATCAAGCACAAATGCAGTGATACATGATTTATGGGAACAAGCGATGTTTCAAGAGCTCTCTTTATTGTGTGAGGAAAAGGCACGTATTGAAATTAATCAAATTACTCTTACACTTGCTTGTCATCCAAGTCGTCGTCATCGTCATCGTCATCATCATCTAAAGCACTTTTGTTAGTTTTAGGTTTTGGGACCTTCATTGTTTCCAAGTCATCCTTCCTTGCTTTAACTTCTTCATCATCAACCTCTGATCCAAGGGACAGCGAGTGTTGCTTTCTATCTCGTGCTAAATACAGACAGCAAGGAATTGACTTTCAGTATGATAAACTAGGTAGAAGACAACCAGGCTGGATAAATAGTTACTGATTGGAAAGAAATAGGATTTTTATGTGCACCTCCTTTCTTCTTCCTGGTCACTTCAATGTCTTCTTGTCCAAATCCCTATCAGTTTGAAGAATCAGTTAGAAGTTGATCTTTTGCTTTGATTACAAAGTCAGAGCAGACAAGTAAAGAAAATTGAAAAAATTGTAATCTTGCCAAGGGCACAGGTTTATTGTTTCTAATATCACGATGAAGCCAGAAAAAATACTTGAAGACGCCAGAAAATATTTGGATCAATGTCAGCAACTGCACACCTTCCCCTCCTCTCCCCTGATCCAATAACAGTCAACTAATAACAAGTTAAGGTTGATATTAGGTTAGGGGAGGGGTGGGTGCACAGTTGCTCAGCTACTAACTGGCAACAAGTTAAGGTTAAATGTTGGGTTAGGGGAGGGGTGGGTGCACAGTTGCTCAGCTACTAACTGGCAACAAGTTAAGGTTAAATGTTGGGTTAGAAGAGGGGTGGGTGCACAGTTGCTCAGATACTAACTGGCAACAAGTTAAGGTTAAATATTGGGTTAGGGGAGGGGTGGGTGCACAATTGCTCAGATATGGGCATTCTTCCATATTATCATCAGCAACAAGGGGGTGGGGAGTGGGGAGGAATGAAATAATATGAGTCATCCAGCAGGGCCAAGCTGTTTAAATGGCACAAAATCTATCCAAGTGATAAATTGCTATCCAGCAGATCAGGGACTGCACAATGTACTGTACTTTCCACCGGATAGAGATTTATGCACTGGATAGTGTTATCCATCATTTGAACAACCGGGGCCTGGTGTTTTCAATCTTACCACAAATTCTTCCTCTTCATCACTAGCACCAAAAATGTCCTGAATCAGCTGCTCACCAGCCTCTTCTTCAGATTCTAGCCTGATCAAGGTTTAAAGAAACAAGCCTCTTTTCTAACATGTAAAATGTGCAAGATGTGGTGGCCTGGGAGCTAGCATGCTGGACTCTCTGGGTAGAGAGGTATGGGTTTCGGTCTTGGGACCCATTCATGAAAGTGTTGGTGGTTACTGATCACAAAA